AGTTATTTATGGTTGTAAAAGTTGTGCAATGTTGACATTTGGGGTCCAAAGATGCTCATTAGTATTCATGTCGTGGAATCTAGAGGTATTACTTTACCCATTGAATGACAGAGGTTATGTTCAAATTTAGGCCAGTCACTATCAGAGATTGTGAATATAAAACAGAGCATAAATACCACACACACACACACACACACACACACACACACTACTTTGAGCTCTTGGGGAAAACATAGGATAAAAATCTAACGAAGTACAGTGAATAACATGAGAGCAGATGGTTTTTGAAGATTAATCAGCAGCCAAGCAAGAACACTCATTTAAGTTTTTATCCTCATTAGATATTCTGACGGTAGCCTCAAACCTTCTGATAGTAGTGCCAGGCCTGTGGTCTAGACTCTCCATTTATGGTTTGAGATTGGCATGGAAAGAGAAGGTTCTCCCACTGGTCCATTTCCAAAGCACTACACTCAGGGATCTACTTAATGTTACTAATTTTGGGGCTAGGCCCTGACATTTTGTTTGTTGAGGGTACCTCATCAGATATGAGACAACCACATTACTTACATCGTCCTGAATCAAATCAAATCAAATCAAATCAAATCAAATCAAATCAAATCAAATCAAATCAAATCAAATCAGATCTTTATTATGGTCACAGACCAGCATAAAGAACATCATCCTGCCTCCCTTTATGTGAAAGTCACAAACAGGGGTATCCTACCACCATTATTTATTTTTTTTAAATATCAGACTTTGGCCCCTTGGCTGCAGAATCAACAGTCCTGAGATAAACTTTTATGTGCTAATAGCACTTCAATTCTGTGGCTGTGGGATGAGCATATTATACAACAGCAAATATTTTCCTGTTAGCTTTTATCACAATAGCAATGTAAAAGTGGAAAATACAATCCCGCCCCCCCCCTCCCCCAATGAAAGTTGATGTTTCTGGAATCTTCCTTCAGGCTGTACAGAAACTGCCATATTTAGAGCAAAGCACAGTCATAACTGATATTCTAATCTGTCTTTCAAATATAGAATCAGTCTCCTGTTTTCTGTGGTTTATATAAATGTCTCTCTACAGAGCTAATAGTGTGTGATGGGAAGAAGAATTAGCTCCTTTAATTCTTCATCCCTTTTCAACTTTTAATTCCTCCACGGACTTTGTGAAGTGGATCAAGCAGAAATTAAGGAATGACCTCTACAGATTTTCATTATTCTCATTTAATTATTACTTAATAACAGAATGAAATGGTTAACTTGTATACACATTGGTTTCCTGTTAGGAAGAAGCCAATTTCATTTAGTATTATAGATCTATTTCCTCAGATAACCATTGCCTGTGTCCCTGATATGGTAGTTAATGAGAGTCTGTGGCCTTATATTTCAGAATTTATGGAAATCTGGCTACTTACTGGGTACATCACAGTTGATGAAGGATTTGGGCCCTTTATTATTGATAAAACATTTATTGGGATCCTGCATATATCCATATCTGTAGGACAACATTTGATTTGCAGGGTACCTGTTGGGAATACCTTAAAGCAAGTTCCTAAGATTTGTGGCAACTTTGTGGGAAAGAGCCAGCTTCTTTCAGGCATTTCTGAACTGCTATGTGCACCTCCATGCACATTTTGCCCTTTGAATCCAGATCTCAGATAGCCCTAACATTTATACTCATGTAGTTCTGAGCATCTTTAGATTTACACTGTTTGGGGTAACTCTAAAAAATAAGAAGTGGGTTGTTAACAAAATGGAAAGTGTGTGAAAGACAGTACCAATGTTTCTTCTCTTCTATCAATGAAATTGGGAAATTTAACCATGGTTTGGAGTCTGCTCTTTGATTGTGCTCTTGAATCATTGTGGAGTTCCGTTGAAATGGAATATATATATATATCAAGATTCCCCAAACATGGGTATCTATTTTGCAAGTCCTGTTGGGGAAGATTGCCCATTCTCAGGATGGCTGCTATTATAGGTGTAGCCTGTTGCAAAACCACAACTGATGGATTGATTTATTTATGTCCCAACTTTGTTTTATTAGAAGGCAAACTGTTATATTTCCCCAATGTCTTATCTAACCCCCCCCCATGCTTTTTCCCAATGCCAATTGACCTCCCCCCTGCTTCTGACAGGTGGCTGTACTTCCAAACGTTAGAGCCACCAATTTTCTTTGATTATTCATGGATCTAGAGTCATTCTTAGAAATAAAGATGGTCCTTGTCTGGACACCTGGCCTTAATAAAGCAAAATATTTGGACAGAACCACAAAAAATACTGTGGTTGTCTAGGCAAGTTTTGCATCCGTGTAGGAATACCAAGTGTACAGAAAAAATGAATCGATCGATCATTCGATCAATAAACTCTAAATGCTGCAGTTCATGGAATCAGGATTTCTCATTTTAAATGTTGCTCTTAAAAGTTAGGTCTCTTGGAAAGGGCATGCAATATAGTGCAGAAGGAGGAATCCAGCAGAAATCGATTATTGTCGAAATCATGAAATTGTTGGTTTGCTTTCCTCTTGCTCAACAAATTCTTTATTGTCTTCCTCCTCCTTTCATCTTTTCATCCTTAAACATTTAGAATGCAGATAAAATTGAGCCCAGTGGTATGGTTTTAATGGAGAAGGCGTAAGTTGAAACTTGAGTTTCTAATGATTTTAATACCATTTTGAGACCCTTAATTAAAAAAAAAAGGAGAGAGACAAAGAGAAGGGAAAGTTTAATGTGAAACCCTGCTGTAGAGAATAAAATATATATTGTCCTCTGGGTTGTGTCTTGACAAAACTGATCTCTCAGAATTGTTGTCATAGATCACTGTAACTCATATCCCACGAAAATCATTATGTGATTGGCTTGGACTTAGCATGTTAGGTAAATGCAGTTATGGTGTGCAAGCCGTGGTTTACTGCCATGTGCAAAGCCAGTCTATGGATGCATAGACTCCCTTTCCTTCAAGTATAGGGCATGCATTTTCAGCATGCTGAGCTGAAAAGAAATTTCCACAAAGATTGATGGGACTTATTCAGACTCATTGGCTTGCAGACTTAATGACATTATTAGATAAAGATCTTGTTCTCCATCTAACACAGAGTATAAAGTGCTTAAGCTGATTAAAATCAATGTCTAAAGGCCACTTAACTGGATTTCGACTACTGTGTGTTACAGTTTGCATGCAGAGTTTGGTGCAGTCTACCAGCTAGTCCAAACTTCACAGGATGCCAGACATTTTGAAAACTGGCGTTGTCCATTTGGAAGGAGGGTTGTTGAGTTATGTGATCTCAAAATACTACAGCTTAATCCGGTGATCTCTGCAGGTTCTACACTTGGGCAGTTCATTGCATGATACAGTGACATTTAATAGTGCTTTTAAAAGGAAATCAAATTGTATAACTGTAGATTTGTAGCCCAAGAAATTGTTGTTGTTTAGTCACTAAGTCGTGTCCGACTCTTCATGTCCCCATGAACCATATTGCGCCAGGCCTTCCTGTCCTT